GCTGCAGCTGCAGCTGCGGCTCCTGCTCCGCGTGCTGCGCGGCAACCCCCCGCTGCTGCTCGACGTGCTCAAGAACTCCTGCGACCTCTTCATCCCGCTCGACAAGCTGGGGCTGTACCGGAGCGGCGCGGGCTTCGTGGGGCTCTGCGGCCTCACCTCCTCCGTGCTCTCCATCCTCACCATCCTCCACCCCTGGCTCAAACTGAAGCCCTAGGTGGCCGTGGCGCCTGCCTCCGGGCCCAGCCACGGATGGCGTTACTCGGCGGACCTGGATTGGGCTCCTTGTTGCCTGTAGAGCCCCCGTGGGGGTGAAACTCTCTCCCTCTRTGTCCAGAGGATCCTTAAGACCGGAGGGAGCTTTTGCTGCTGCCCTCCCYGGGGCCAGAAGAAGCCCCCGGGACACCGAGCAGCTCTTGTGGCCGGCTGCAAACGTCCCATTTCGGGGYTTCTTGGCCGCCGCGGGGTAAGCGGGGCAGGGCTGAGCTGTGATTCCCTGTGATGAGTTTTCCTGCCGCTCGGAGCTGGCGCCGGCGGGAGCTGATGGCTTCCCCAGCCCGGCACGCGGGACAGCGCYGCTGGAGCGGCCCCTGGCCGAGCCCCAGCTCGGAACAGGCGGCAGCTCCGGCTGATCCCGCTGCCCGCGGGCCCTCGTGTCCAGGGGGCTTCCGAGGCTCCCAGGTTCTGCTCCGCTGCGGATCGGCGTTCCCAACCGGTCTCTTCCCGGTCCCACTGCCAGCAGCCTTTTGCCGCTGTCTCCGCGGCGGGTTTGATGTTTTAGAGCAATATTTTGTGAAATATTGCAGAAAACTCTGATGTTTTAGAGCAATATTTTGACCTTGGCGGGGATGGGGGGCGCGGCGGGAGCCATGCGGCCTCCCCGGCTCCTCGTGGGTCGCCTGGGAATCCTGGAAGTCGGCTCTGTGCCGGTCGCGGTTTGCGGAGCTGATGATTAAAGCCGAGTTGCTGAGAGGCGTCCCCGTCTTCCCGCGCCGCCGTGAGCTCCCGCACGTGTCTTAGCTCCCATCCCCGGAGCCACCGGCAAGGGGTGTCCGTGTTCACCCCGCTCCAGGGAGCGGGAATGCGGCTCCTCTCCCAGGCGGAGCTGCCAGCACCGCTTGCGTGTCGGGTTTCCATCCAGAACGGCCCAACCCGGAGATGCCCCCAGGAGATCGCTGGCACCATGGGGTGCTCCCGGCCTCCCCCGCGCCCTGGCACCCGCGTGGGACCCCTGCGGTGACACCCCCAGCTCGTCCCCAGCCGGGCAGCGTCGCCCCKTTGCCGTCCCTCAGCAGGGCTCGGGCCGCTGCAGGCAGCTCCCGAGCTGTTTTGCTCCTCGGGTTTCCTGTTCCTTCTCCTGCTGCCGCTGAAACGCCAGGCTTGTGTCCCTCGGCAGCGGGATGCTTCCAAGCCAAACCCTTCCAGGCTTCCCATCTGCGCAAAAACTCAAGTTCTTCTGGGGAGAAAACAACAACGAAAGGAASAGGGAGAAGCGAAATCCCACGTTTCACAAGTGTCCTGGGGCCAGGATGCCCCAAGCCCCCGGATCCATCCGGACTGAGCGGGCACGGAGACTGGGGGACAGTTTTGTTTGTGGGTCCCCAAGCCCATGGCCGCATCCCTAAGATCCTGCAGGATCCTAGGATGTGGTCCCTGAGCTCCGGAACACCTTGAGGCCGGTACCCCAAATCCCCCGGGATGGGGTCCCAGGATCTGCTGCCCCACGTTGTCCCCAAAGTGCCCCAGGATCTGCTCCCCGGAAACGGGATCGTGTCCCTGGAGCCTCCGCGCCGGGCGCTGCGGCTTCCTGCCCGTTTGGGCACCACGATTCCCGAGCACCCYGGGCGGGACGGGAGCTCCGCGAGGTCCCCGCAGCTCCCGGTGTCACCCGCTGCGCGTGCCGCATCCCCGGCACGGGGGACATCGCCACCCGGCCAGCGTCAGGACGGTGACAACGGCCACCAGCACCGGGCCAGCCRCCCCAATTCCCTGCGGTCCCCAAAGCGATGGGGCAGCCCAAGGGGGCCCTGGCGTCCGGGCGCTGCCTCTGAGCCAGGACAGTGGCTTTTTCTCTGGAAAAATCAGGGAAAAAAGTTTTGGAGGTGTCACCGGGGGACTGGCAGCCCCAAAAGGGTGTTTCGGGGTTGCGCCACCGCCTTCCTCTTCCTCCCTTCTCCTTTTCCAGCGTTTTTACCACTTTGCCTTTTTTTTTCCCCAAAAAAGAGCCCAGCCCAGTCGGTTATTTTTAGCAGCCAATCGCAACGCCCGGGAGATGAAGGAGGAGGAAAAAAAAAAAAATTGAAAAAATAAGTTAAAAAAAGTGCTGCGGAGCGGGGCGTCCCGCAGACAGAGTCACCTTTGAGGCGGGCGGGCGGCACCGGCGGCACCGGCGGCACCGCGGCGGGGCCATGGCGGGCGGCGCGCCGCTGCCCGCGCTCCTCCTGCTCCCAGGTACGCGCCGGGGCACGGGGAAAGGGGGGAATAAAATAAAGGGGGGAAAAAAGTGGGGGGGAAGCGGCAAAACTGAAATATGGGGAAAAAATGAGAAATAAATTATAGGGGAAAAATGGGGAAAAAAAAGGCGTGGGGCTGAATCAGGTGCTGCAGATGTTGGGGGGTTGGGGATGGTTTTTGGTTTCTTTGTGATTTTGCCGGGGGGGGTTGGCGAGTGAGCCGGGCTCCAAAGGGCGACCCGAAGGGTAACCGGCTCCGTGCTGCATTAACAGAGTGCCGGGAAGCCGGTTGTGATTAACCGGTGGCTCCACAGTGCGTGAACACCCTGTGGGCACCTGGACAGAACCAAGAATATGTTTTTTGGGGAAAAAAAWGCTTTTTTTYCCCCGTTTTTGCCTTCTCTCCCTCTCGGATAACTTTGGGCTGCTGCCCGTGGYGGAGGGCAGAGCCCTGGCTGGGAGACAGAGGTGGCAGAGCCCACAGTGCCAGATGCTCAAACCCTGTTAAACAGCAACTAAAGATTTGGGAGGAGAAATTTTCATGGAAAATCCCCCAACTGGGGAGGGAAAATAGATGTATCCCCTGCCGCCCCGCTTGGAGGCTCCATCCCAGCCGGGGCACATCTGGAAGTGTTTCTGCTGCCTCGCTGGGCATGGGCGCTGCTCTCCGGAGACACCACAGACAAATATARATATATAAAAARWATATATATGTATATATATATAWAAAAGTATATATATATATATTTATATATTGCCCTTTCCTTTTTGAAAGGCTTGCTCCCCTTTCCTGCCACTTTGAGCCCAGGAGGGGAAGCGGCTTGGCCGCTCCGGGGGACGGGAAGGTCTCAGCCACCCCCCGAGGTCGTGCCCGGAATCCAAAACGCGCCGTTTTCCTCCCGTTTCAGCCTTCCCCTCCCATCTAATTGGCGCTTCCCAAAATACGCCCGGAGCCCCGGCCGTGCCCTGCGCCACCCGGCCTAATTGCGGGGCCGGCTGCCCTGCGGTCCCGCGGGGACGGCGGCCACAGCGCMGAGGATGTGACCCCAGCAACCTCCCCCAGCCCCCCGGGCCCTGCATCATTAATTAATCCAGTAATTACATAAGCCAAAGCCTCAGTACCTGGAGAGGGGGTGCGGGCAGGGCACGAAGGGGCACAGCCGGAGTGCGGGGCGGTGATTTGCGCCCTATGGGTGGCGGGGTGGGGGGCAGGACGCCGGGGCCCATCGCGCGGGCGCTGAGGGCTCCCCGGCCCCCAGGGCTCTGCGTCGCCTTCAACGTGGACGTGAGCAGCCCCCGGCTCCTGCGCGGGCCCCCCGAGGCGCAGTTCGGCTACAAGGTGCTGCAGCGGGCGGCCGGCGGGCGCAAATGGTGAGCGGGGGCACCGCAGTGGGGGTGGCACCATCGTGGGGGCCGTTCTGCCCCAAAACCCCAGGTTGCTCCTAGCGGGGGGCAGCGAAAGCCCAAACCGGGCTGGGAGCCCCCGTCGGCGCTACCAGGGTTTGGATGTCGATGGGGACGTCCCTCGCCGCGAGTGACACCGTGTCCCTGCAGGCTGCTGGTGGGAGCCCCTTGGGACGGGCCGGATGGCGACCGCCGGGGTGCCGTCTACAAGTGCCCCGTGGGACCCCCCAACAGCACCTGCACCCAGGTGGACCTCGGTGAGGCGCCCGGCGGGCGGGGGGGCCGGGGCTCCCTGGGGACCCGGGCGGTGCTGACACGGCCGTGTCCCCGTCGCGCGCGCGGCTGGAGGCGACGCGGCGCTGCGGCACGGCGCCCTGCCCGCCAGGAACATGCACCTGGGCATGACGCTGCTGCACGGCCCCGGCGGCGGCTTCGTGGTGAGTGCCCACGCCAAGAGCCCCCCCTGCCCAAAATGCTTGCCCCCGTGCCAAAACGCTCGCCCCCGTCCCCAGGCCTGCGCCCCGCTCTGGTCCCAGGAATGCGGCACCTCCGTCTTCAGCAGCGGCATCTGCACCCGCATGGACAGCGAGCTGCGGCCCGTGGAGACCCTGGCGCCCACGGCGCAGCGTGAGCGGCCGCGGCGGCGCCCGGGGACGCGGCGGGGACGGCGCGGACCGCCCGTGTCCCCAACCGGCGCCTTCCGCAGGCTGCTCCACCTACATGGACATCGTCATCGTGCTGGACGGCTCCAACAGCATCTACCCGTGGTACGAGGTGCAGAACTTCCTCAGCAACATCCTCAGCAAGTTCTTCATCGGGCCCGGCCAGATCCAGGTGAGCCGGCGCCGTCCCGCCCCGGGCCCCGGTGTCCCCGGTGTCACCGCAGGCAGGGCCGCGGATCTCCCGC